GTTGGAAGAGTTATAAGATTGTTCCACCCCTGGAGATGGCAGACAGGGGCGCTGTCTTGTCGACCCTCATAGTTCCCACGTGAGGGTTTGAAAGGGGAGACGAGGGGGATCCCCGCAGAATGAAAGGGGCAGTGAAGATCACTTCGCGTGATGGCAGCGTGAATGCTTCGGGTCGGCTATGTGCTGTCTGAACATGCGTCCTCTGTCGTGGGACCAAAACGCAGGGGCAGACAGACCGTCAGACGGTGCTCGTCCGAGCAGTTCCCATGAGGCGAGAACAAAGGAGCCTACCCAACGGCATGTAAATTTAGGAAGAGTTCCTGAAGGAAGAACCGGCATGTTGCCTTTGGCCTTGTCTTTGTGCTCAGCCACCTGCGTTCCTGATCGCAGTCGGGCCTCTGCAGACCGGGAAGAACCTGGCCCGTTCTGCATCTCACCTCCGGAGCCAGAGGCCATATTTCTTCACTCTTATGATAATTTCGGTTCGAAGTATCGTTCCTTAACAAGCTGCCTGCTTCAAAAGCGCCAAATCTCTTTTTTTGTCATGCTTGCCCAAACATGTCTTTCAAAGAGCTAGGTTTGTAAATATGACTTTATTATAGTCTTCTTCTTTGCCTTTAGCTACAGACCACCAAGGGTATTCCAGAGCCTAAACTGTCCCTGAATTGAAAATGTTTTCTTGTATTAAGTTGGATGCCTTAAAATGTTACGGAGTTCAGGGTGCCAAGGTCGTGTGCTGGCAGAGGATGCGAGTCTGTGTCCTACCTGACAAACAGAGGGACAATGTTGGTGTCTCCGTAGCTGGGTGTATTTCTAAATGTCCGTTTTCATTTCATCATTTCCTAAATCTTATATAATTAGACCTTTGGCTTATTCTTTGAGACATTAGTTAAGAAGAAAGAATATTTTTAATCTCCAGCCAGTGGGGTTTTAATTTACACTCTTCATCATTGACTTTGGGCCGTACAATGTCGTGGTCGGAAAATGTTTCCTAGTGTATGTTTTGTTTGTAACTATTCTGTGGACACACATAATGTGGCTCGCTCTCTTTCTGCAAAGTAAATAGTTCATCATATAGTTATTAACTCAACATTGTCATTATATTATGTGCTTCATGACGTGTTTTTTGCCTCCTAAAGCTCCGGCGGACTATTTTGTCTTAAAGATTTTCATATAATTTCATTCATTTCCCCTTGAATTTTTACCAGTTTGATACAAGTCCACACACTGCAGAGATCTGCTCTCCCTTGTTATAAACTGTGCCCCTTATAAACAAACGTTTTTTGTTTCTTTTGTTTCTTTTTTGACACATTTGCCTGGAGTAACCTTTGACCAGAATTAGCATTGTAAGTCACAGAAGCACCCAAAGTTAGTCAAAGTTTGTGAGTGTTGTTTTATTTTAGTTTTGCTACTTGGCATTTCACGCGATCTCTCTCTTTTTCCCCCAGTTTGCCAAGGCACAAATAACAAGCTCACTCAGCTGGGCTCATTTGAGGACCACTTCCTGAGCCTGCAGAGGATGCTGAACAACTGTGAGGTGGTCCTTGGGAACCTGGAAATTACCTATATGCAAAGGAATTACGACCTTTCCTTCTTAAAGGTCAGTTCGGCGAATTTGATCTTATTACCCAAATACAATAGACGTTTGTCTAAGCAGGTGAAGGCCTTGGCAGAATTCACCGGGACGTGCGTTTGCTTCTGCTTCGGCACTTACAAGTCCTGGGGAACTGCAGAGGCCGGTTTTATGAGAAGGCTTCTTTCCCAGGCAGCGTCAGGTTATACAAGAATATCAAAGAGAAGGCGAGGCCGGCATTCTACCCTCGTAGACACCGATATGAACTTTTTAACCATTGCTTTGGCTGTGGCACCCTGCCATACCGGCTCTTAATTCTTTTAAAAACCCTGCTTTGTAGCATTGGCCCATTTTCCCGGTGTAAATATTCCCACCACGGTTGATCTCCAGCTACCAAGAGTTTAACAACCAGTTTACAAAATTCCCGAACATTTCGCACTAGGCCGAGACGCTGAGAGCCGCTCTGAAGGCCTCAGAATGTGGTGGTGGTTGAACTTGAGATTTCATTGGCCTTCTTCCAGGGTTTTGTCTTGTTTTGTTTTGTTTTCAATGAGAAAGCAGGCAAGACAGATACAAACTAAGTTACTGAGACATTTCCATTTTGATGTGAGTGCACTGAACACCCAGTAAAACGAGAGCCGCAGCATTCCTGACTGGGGCACGTTGCCCTTCGTCACAGCCGGCGGGCTCCAGAGGCACCGCGCAGGGCTCCCCGTGAATCCTGGCTCCTTCCGTCCCGCAGCCGTGGTCATCCACGTGCTTCCCACGCATGGCCCACGCGGGCTTCGGTCAGGTGTCCCGGGCCCTCTGGACCCGCTTCAGACCTCGCCTTCTTGAGTTCCTCAAGCGAGATATAACACGTTGACATCTTACCTCCTCAGACCATCCAGGAGGTGGCCGGCTACGTCCTCATCGCCCTCAACGTGGCGGAGACGATCCCGCTGGAAAACCTGCAGATCATCAGAGGGAACGTGCTCTTCGAAAACACGCACGCCTTGTCGGTCCTGTCCAACTACGGGGCAAACAAAACGGGGCTGCGGGAGCTCCCCATGAGAAACCTGCAGGGTGAGAGCGGGCGCGGGGGCGCCGGGTGCCGAGAGGGACCCGGTCGGGACTCGGGGAGCCCCTCGCTGTCCTTAATTCCACTCAGGGGACACTTATTCGTCAAACAGAGACGCGTTGCGTGCCGGCCGTGCGCGAGCTCCGGCAGGTGGAAGCTTCTAAGAAGGAGGTGGGCAGAGGGATGGGAGGGAAGGGTGAAGCCACGTGCCGGTTCCCCCGTGTCCACGTGTTAGGGACGTACGTTAAACACCAGCCGCGGTTCGAGCCCGTGTTCCGAGTGACATTGTGACGCGGAGGGCCGCGTTTCAGGCGGGATGGGGGGTGAAGGCATCACAGGAGAAGTCTGAATTCTTGCGACTAGGACGCTTATGAGGGTCACGTGAAAGGAAAGGGTGGGTTGATAGGAGGTTGATTTTTTTTTTTTAATTAAAGATAACAATGGTTGTGCCCTTGCCGTGTGGCGGCTGCGGTACCAGGCATGCTAAATCAATCACTTGATGCCATGGCCTTCCTCTGACACAGATGTGACACTGCCAGTTTACGAATAAAGAACTGGCGGTGACGTAACTCTCCTAAGGTCCCAAACTAGTTAAAAAATGGCCGGGCACGGCCACCAAGTCTCTGCCTCCATCCCTCGCCCTCCCTCCCCGTGCGCTGTGCAGTTCAGAACTGCTGCGGATCAAGCGCTGAGGACCTGCTTCTGTCGCCGGCATGGGGCTCATACTGATTCGAATGAATAAACGATTCTTTAATGTGAATTAGTCAATATTAATTAAATGCTGTTATTCACTATTAACCCAGTGCCGGTCACGGAGGGAGCGGTCGTGAAACGTGGAAAATGAAAATAGGAGGGTGGCCGTCTCTGCGTTACCCGTTGCCCCTCTAGGCTGCCAGGCCCCGAACCCTCCTCCAGGTGCCGAAGGCCGTGCTCTGCGAGGCCCTCGCCCACTTTCCACCTCGCACTGCTTGTCCCGGTGGCCTCAACGTCCCTCTGCGTCTCCAGCTCTGACCTCTCATCAGAGCCTCGTCTGCTTAACTCTGGCTCCCTCCGAGTGGATTCTTTCACGTGATTGTCCTGCCGTCATCTCTGACTTTACGTCCACAGCGCCACAGCTTGGCCCTTCCCAGCCTGCCTCCCATGGATCCTTCATTCTCGTCCATCCATTGGAGAAACCGCCCACCGTCCCGGTTCGGGGCCTCTGCCCGCCTTCTGTCTGCCCAAAGCCCACAGAGCCCTCACTCCATGTCTCCCCACCCGCCCCCCAATCTGCTCCCATCGGCACTCCAGGACAGGTCCTCTTTCCCCGCAGCTCAGAGACCTTGCCAGCGCCCCAATCTGCTCCCATCGGCACTCCAGGACAGGTCGTCCTTCCCCTGCCAGCAACAGCCTTTCCATGCGGGTGCTTTGTGCATGTGGCACATCCATTCCCTGCCCGTGGGGTGCTGGGCACTATTCATGTATCTGTCTTTAAATTACAGACTCGTAGGACCATTGAGAGGATTCACTCAGAAAGGGCGTGTAAATCAATCCGCACAGTGCCGGCCCTGCCTACGCCGAGGCCAGCTGCGGGCGGGAGCTGTGCGTCCTGGCTGTCGCCCCATTGCCTGTCGGCTTTTAGAAGCCGACGGCTCTAATCCATCTTTGCAGACCCCACAGTCCTTGCTGCAGTATTTTGTGCATATGAGTCATTCCGCACACGTCGCATTTCCTGTCGTTGACCGACACTCCCTGGCTCTGGCTTGACATTTTCTTCTCGCCCGTGATTTTTCGTGTCCTGTCGCTTCTTCCTTTGAAACAATCGTCCGGTCTTTTACGTCCTTTGCATTCCTGGCGTCCGCCCCGTCTCTCCACCTACGTACAGATTCTCCACCCTCAACCTCTTTCTCCAACGAAAGGCGCCTCACGGCGTCACCGCCTTCTCCGGGCGTCACCAGCCTGCGATGCTGGTGGTCGCCGTCACCTTCCCGTCCCATTTGCCCCTCCAGACAGTGACGTCATAGGGTCATTCCAGGGCAGGCGGGTCCGCCTCCCCGGGAACGCACTGCCCACCAAACACACTGCCCACCGATAGCAGCATCGCCTTCCTTCCTGCCCACGTTTCTACATCCTAATCATTCGTTTCTCAAAGGTCCAGTTCAGGGGAAATGCAGCCTCCCCCACGGCACCATCCTCCACTCATTTCTCGTCTGCCCCCGCGGAGGCCCCGTGGGGAGCGGCGTGTGCACGCTGGCGAGTTTTTAGCCAAACGCAGCGTGTAAAGAAAGACAGGCCCGCTTCGCGAGAGCTTGGAGGAGGCCGCGGGCGTGCTGACTGGGGTTCCTCTCTCACGCAGAAATCCTGCAAGGCGCCGTGCGATTCAACAACAACCCCCTCCTCTGCAATGTGGAGACCATCCAGTGGCGGGACATCGTGGACAGCACTTTCCTGAGCAACATGTCGCTGGACTTTCAGAACCAGATGAGCAGCTGTAAGTGTGGCGTCAACGTTCCCGCTGCCTCCAGCTGCCGAGCTGGGGGTGACGGGGGAGGAGAGCGAGCTAACGTGGAGTCCCGTTGATCTAGAGCAAAAAGAAGCGGTCAGCGAAGGGTGCCCCCACCAGAGGACCTATCTAAGACAGAACGGAGTCGGAGGCAGACTCCGAACTCATCGGTTGGCAAATGTTCCCCTCTGTCACGGAAAGACGCGTTTTCATTTTAGGAGTTTCTCGTTTATGGACCTATCATGTGCTTGTAATAGAAATTTGAAAAATATGGAGAAGTGTAGGCAAAGTAAAATCAACATGGCATCTCTGTACAGACGCGTCACTTGCAACGTTTCTATGTATCGTTTTTGCTCTTTCTTCTCTCGTCACCTTGTCTCTCTGTCTCAGCCTCTCTCTCTCTCTCTCTCTGTCTCAGCCTCTCTCTCTCTCTCTCTCTCTCTTCCTCTCTCTCTCTCTCTCTCTTTTTCTACAATCTTTTTTATACATGCACATAAACACACACATTCATTTCCCCTCTATGCATTGCCTGTTTCATTAACCTTTCACCCCGGGGGCGATCGTGAAAACAGTCAGTCATATTAACAGGGTGTCTTGGTTCAGATCCCGCTGTATATCACCACCGTTCCATTTTAAATCTAAATTCTTCCAGAGACTACATTCTTCTGACCAAGGGAGGCCCCGGGACACATATCGATTCCTTCAGGTTATTGTGTCTTTACAGAGAAAGATCTCTGCATGGCTGATGGCTTTTTATCAGATTTGGTGATCAGCCTGTTCTCTATCTATGGCTCAGACACCTTGGTCTTCAGATTTCTCAATGCCGATTAAAACAAAACGCAGCTCAAGAGATGAAGCACTTTTGTAGCCGTAATTTATAGTCGATCATGATTTATAAAAACCACATAACTGGTTGATCTATTGAGAGCATTTTCAGACAGCAGCTTACACATCAACAGCTGAGGTTTTAGATAATCAGCAAAGCGATACACCCTTTGACCAGTTTCCCCCTGTGCAGCATTCTGTGCTGTCTGGCTTAGAGCCTGGGAGTTTTTACCTGCAAGGCCCAAACTCCCCAGGACCACTGACCCATGCAGTCCCTCACGGCTGGACGTAGCAAGCATGCAGCGCGTGCGTGCTGACTCCGCCGGGTTAGAGACACTTCACGTGACTGCAGAAGGTTCTGGCAAGTTCTCCAAGCCTACGTGGATTTGAAATCTGGAGCCCTGAGTTCATTTAAATCTCAGTGTCATAGCCTGTGAGCAGTGATCCATAATCACTCTGCCTCAGTTCCCACAGCTGAAATGTGAATCGAAGCAGTTTTTTCAATCATCTTGCGAACCGCCCAGCTGAACAAACTAAGAAGAAGAAGTATGAATAAGCTACTCTTCTCTAGAACGTTCCTTTGCTCAGGGGCTCGGGGAGGGTGTCATCTGTTTCTCGTGATTTGTTCCCTTTCGCGAAGATGTGAATTTAACCACGACTTGTCTATTTTAGGCCCAAAGTGCGACCCAAGCTGTCCCAACGGGAGCTGCTGGGGTGCGGGACAGGAGAATTGCCAGAAACGTAAGTGGGGCGCAGTCACCTCGTCCCCCCATATGCAGCTGCCGTGTTGGTGTTTCCTTTGGAGAGTCCAAAAGCATTCTCGATTATGAGGCCAGACGCTAGCAGCCCCATGAATGACAGTCCTGCAGATCTCCCCACCAGCGGGTGATGCAGTGTGGGCTACCTGTGGCACCTCAGCCGGTCACAGATCAGTGAACGTCACCTGTGTCTCAGTCAGCCTCTGTGAACAATGTGTTTGGCAGATTTTCCTGGGAACGGAAGCCCCGTCTGCCTTACCTGCGCCGGCACCACCCACGCAGAAGCACGAGCAACTTCTTTCAAGAGGGTTTTTCTGCAAGAGTCCCACCTAGTGTAGGAGCTTGGATGGCCGAGGAATCCGAAGACACGTCAGCTTAGAAGCTGACTGTCTGTCCTTAACGTGACACTGACAAACACTACTTCCTGGCAGGCATTTTTGTTATTTGCATGTCTTTCTGCATTACCCAAAAACTCAATTCCAACTGGCGCCTAATATTTAACTGGTCTAACAGTCTAGGCTGAGCTACTCGGTTTTCCTAAGTGGTTAAAACTCATAGGAAAACACAGAGGCGCAGCCGAGAAAAGTCACGGTTCGGCTTAAGCTGGCAGAGCGCGAATGGGGGGGACTGTAAGAAGCCTCGGGGTCACCAGTGTCTCCTCTCGGTCACGTTTCCATCACGTTCGCACGTGCTCTGCGGGGTCCCGGGGGGGCTGTGCCTCGCCATCGCCACGGGCTCGCCGGCTCACGCGTGCCCTCCCTTCCCTTTCAGTGACCAGGATCGTGTGTGCCCAGCAGTGCTCCAGGCGCTGCCGTGGCAGGTCGCCCAGCGACTGCTGCCACAGCCAGTGTGCGGCCGGCTGCACCGGGCCGCGGGAGAGCGACTGCCTGGTAAGACCCTGGGGCCCCGGCCCCGTGGTCAGGCCAGCCACGTGGGGGGCGTCTCTGGCCCACGGTTTGGTGGGGCTCCCCGTGCGTGAAACGCCCCTGCAGTAGCAGAGCGGGGCGTCGCCCTCTGCCAGGGAACAAAGGCCTCTTCCTGTCTCGCCTTCACCGCTTACTTTGCGACCGGGGGCGAATCCCATGACCCCTCGGTGCCCCGATTTCCTCATCTGACAAAGGCAGGTAACAGAGTACCTAGCAGGTACGTGGCCTAAATCAGGGTCCCCAACCCGCGGGCTGTGGACTGGTACCGGCCTGTGGCCTGTCAGGAACCGGGCCGCACAGCAGGAGGTGAGCGGCGGGCCAGCGAACGAAGCTGCATCTGTATGTGCAGCCGCTCCCCAGCGCCGGCATCACCGCCTCAGCTCCGCCTCAGATCCTCAGGCATTAGATTCTCATAGGAGCACCGGTCCCTCGTGCTAAAAAGGTTGGGGATTGCTCTTCATGAGGATATTGAGATGTAGTTTTCCATTCTTTTTGTAATTGTGATATATTTGACATATAATATTATATTAGTTTCAGATGTACAACATAATAATTTAATATTTAAATATATTGCAGAATGATCACCAAAATTAGTCTGGTTAACATTTGTCACCTTACATTTTTTTTCTTGTGATGATAACTTTTCAGATGTACTTTTAACAACTTTTAAATATGCACTACAGTATTTTTAACTTTGGTATACATTACATGCCCATACTTATTGATTTTATAACTGGAAATTCGTACCTTTTGAGCCCCTTTACCAATTTCTTCCACCTATCCCCAACCTCTACCTCTGGCAATCACTGCTCTATTTTCTGTGTCAATGAGCTTGGTTTTGGAGTTTTTATTTTGTTGTGTTTTAGATTCCACATATAAGTGAGATCATATGGTATTTATCTGTCTCTGTCTGACTTATTTCACTTAGCATAATACCCTCAAGTTCCATCAATGTTGCTGCAAATTTATAGATAATAAACTATCTTTGCATCCCTAGAATAAATCTCACTTGATCATGGTGTATGATCCTTTTAATACACTCTTCAATTCAGTTTTCTAATAGTTAGTTGAGGATTTTTGCATCTACGATCATCAGGATATTGGCCTGTAATTTTCTTTTCTTGTGGTAACTTTGTCTTGTTTTTGGTATCAAGGTAAATCTGTCCTTGTAAAATGAATTTAGAAGTGTTTCTGCCTCTATGATTTCTTAGAAGAGTTAAAGATTGATATTAATTCTCCTTTGAATGTTTGGTAGAATACATCAGTGAAGTCTCTGGTCCTGGACTTTTGTTTGTCGGCAGGTTTTTTTGTTTGTTTGTTTGTTTGTTTTTATTTTTTAGCAATTTGTTCAGATTTTCTCTACCTTCATGATTTGGTCTTGGTAGGTTGTATGTTTCTAGGAGTTTATTCATTTCTTTCAGGTTGTCCAATTTGTTGGTGTATAATTGTTCATAATAGTCTCATGATCTTTTGCATTTCTGTGGTATTAGTTCTAACATCTTTTACATTACTGATTTTGAATCCTTTTTTTTTCTTGGACCCCCGTCCCCCCCCCCCGTGACAGGTGTCAGGCTGAAAATAGAGAAAGCCTCGCAACACGAGAGGCGGCAGCGTTTGAGATCAATGAGAATCGCTGTTTGAGAAGCACTTGCTCAGGCAGAAGCCAAACAGTGTTCCAGTTGGGAGACAAAGGCCAGGGGGCTGACGGGGGGAAGGGGGCCAGGCACCCCCAGGGAAGGAGGGCGTGGCTGTCGGTGCAGACAATGTGCCATCGTGACATTAACTCTAAACGGTGCATTTCCTTTTCAGTACGGCGGTCATGATATCTGCTTATGTTCTTTGCAAACCGTCTCTGGGGCGCAGTGTTGTTTTAGGCTGAGTCCGAAGGTGGTTGTGCCTCGTTTTCACACCTGAAGCTCTGAGCCACGAGCCGCCCGAGGCAGTCCCCCCACGGTGGCTCCGTTTTCGAGTGTCCCCGTTTGTATTATTTTTACACAGGTCTGTCACAAGTTCCGGGACGAAGCCACGTGCAAGGACACCTGCCCGCCGCTCATGCTGTACAACCCCACCACGTACGAGATGGACGTCAACCCGGAGGGCAAATACAGCTTCGGCGCCACCTGCGTGAAGAAATGTCCCCGTGAGTCCTGGAGGAGAAAAGTCCTGGATTTCCAGGCACCGATTCCTGCATTGTCCCCTCCCGGGAGCCTTGAGTCCCCTGCGTCGGCCAGGCTTTGGGCCGGTGTGTTTGCCCTGTCGTCCGGCACGTGACCGGGCGCCCCTCCGAGTGCAGATGAGGGGCAGGTCGCCGCCCCAGGTGACAGACGATGGCTGCTGCTCTGCTCGCCAGCGTCTGTGTGGCTGTGGTGGCCGGGACGGGAAGCACGCCTGTCGTGCAGGCTCCAGGATCAGGTCCCGCTGTCTTGGTCTGGAATATTCAGCCGTCTCTCTGGCACAGCCCCGCGGCCACTGGGCCGTGTCACGGTTCGGTCCCGGTACCAGGCAGGTATTTAACAGACATAAATTAGAGCGCACGTCAGACCTGCCTCCTTCGTGGTCGTGATTCTGGTGAAAGCTGCGCCCTTAGGAGCACCGCACGGGGGTCTATTGTTTGTGGTGTTTTTTTGGGGGGTGCAGCTGCTGCACGTTTGCGTTTGCGATCTGCTGGTGGCTACTGTGTTGACGGAAACGGTGACACGGAATTTTTCCGAAAAGACAAAGCTTAGCGTTGTCTACTTAAAAGTTTAGAACCCATCTAGATTGAGAAAAATGTCTCAGGACAACTGCGAGGGAGGTCTGCCTTACTGGATTTGTGGAGATGAAAAACGTTTAATTCTGTACGGAAAAAAAATAACACACATGCAGAATAATAGGCCGTTGTGAGGTAAATGACAAACTAAGACAAAGAAAAATTTGTCACGGTTATGACAGATGTCATCAGGGAGAGAGGGCTTAATAGGTCGAGTTTTAAAATCCACAGGAAAAACCCTTAGAACCTAAGAGCACAAAAGCAGGCAGTTCACAGGAAAAAAAAAATGACAAATGACCAGTAAATATGTTTGTGGATCTCCTTGGGGAAGTCAAAACAGGAAGACGTACAGCTCCTGAAGAATATAATATTTGCGTTAATATCAACACAAGTAAATTACTTGGAGGGCGAGGGGTGCTGAGACCGTGGCCGATGTGCCCGGCTGGACACAGACCGGCTGGTCCGACCACCGCCAGCGTGGGCAGATGGCCAGGCCCGGGAGGACCGCACCAGGCGAGGCGTCAGCCCCAAGAATTACATGCCACCCCACCGCAGCAGCGTTGATGGAGGAGGGGTGTTTGTTTGGGTTCACGTATTTCTAATAAAGAGTCAAGCTTTAACCATAAGTCCTGAAGGCAAAACCTACGGGAGAAAACTGAGCCACCCAAAAGGAGACACGGTGTTTTCTCTCTCACACACCTGTTCTCTGCCCGACGTGAAATATCTTTATGTCTCCACGTCGTGGTCTGAGCTCTCACACGCGATTCCTTGTCAGTCTGCGGCCTTTCATTCTTTGTCCTTAAAATAAACGAACCGGGGGATCACGGGCCCTTCCCATCAGCCCTGTGACAGGAGGACACGGGACCTGGGAGCACCTGCTGCCCCCGTCACCACCTCTCTTTCGTTGCCCCTCAGGTAACTATGTGGTGACAGACCACGGCTCGTGCGTCCGCGCCTGCAGCTCTGACAGCTACGAGGTGGAGGAGGACGGGGTTCGCAAGTGTAAGAAGTGCGAAGGGCCTTGTCGCAAAGGTAGGAGGCCTCTCCCGCGCCCACCAGCCCCCCTCAGCGCCCCCTCAGAGGAGATCTGAGCAAACCCTTCCTTCAGGCCGGAAATGCATTCCTTCCTGGATGTGGGCCCTGTTCTTAGGGTACCCCCAAGGCCAGCTTAACCTTGCTTATCCTTTACTTCCTGTTTTGTTTTGAAAATGTTCGGACACCCCACAACGGTGCAGTATTGTACGGTGGACATCCGTATGCTCTTCAAATAAATGCACCAATTTTTAATATTTTGCCACATTGCTCTCACTCCTTCCATGTTTGCTTGTAGACATGGGTCTGTGTGTCTGTGCACGTGTGTGTGTTTTCTGAACCATGTGATAATTCCAGATATTATAGTACGTCAGCCTGCGTTCCCTACAAACAGGGACATTCCGAGTAACGAAGGGCAGTTCCACATTCATCCCGAGTTTAGCTATTTTCAACTCCATGCTATTTTCCAGGGTTCAGGTTCATTTAAATTTTTCCCTCCTGTCCCAATCGGTCATTTTCAGCCATTTTTCAATCCAGAATCCAGTCGAGGCTCGTGAGTGTCGCTTGGATGTCTGGTCTCCGTGCTCTTCATTAACCAAGAACCATTTCTCAGCCCTCACACCCCACCCCAAACCCCTTTATCCTTTAGCTTCCCTGACCTGGCGTGACCTGGTGTCGGGTGTGGCAAAGACTCCAGGCCCCGTGTTCGGGATAGAGATGGCATCTGTGACAGAAATTCTGGGGTGGATATAAATTAACAAGCGAGCTCAAGAGTCTGGAAAAGGGCCTTTGAGACTATGTAGCAACAGGACACAGATCAAAGCGTTTGACTTAAGTAAACACCGCAGAAGAAAAGCGGTTTAAATTATCTCATAAAAGTTATTACAGTACTCGCTATGTTGTAACATCAGACGGCCATTAAAAACCGTGTTTGTGAATAGTTTTAATGACAGGACAAATGTTCACAGCACAGTAAGTGGGGGCGGGGGGAGGAACAAAATGCTAACTGCATATGTGCTGTGATATAACCATGAAGCTTAGCTGGAAAGAAATGTCCTAAGATGTGAATGGTACGCAGTAGAATTGCTGGTCCCTTTGTTCCTCTTTATTCCTGTGTTTTCAGCATTTTCTTAAAAATATGACTCCCTTAATAAAATTTAAAAAAAAAAAAAAAGCACCTGTTTTTTTCTTAAGATAGAAGACAAAGCTGCCGCTCAGGTCAGGGCGGTGGAAAGGTGTCGAGCTTTATCAGGGGCGCCGGCGAGAACCAGCCAGGCAGCTGTCAGCAGGTGCTCGCACCATCACGGAGAGTTGTCAAGAGCGAGTAAATCTGGAAGGAATGAGGAGGACACCCGAGTCCCGTGAGGACAGCAGTGGTGTCCCCTGGAACCGCTGCAACCCCAAGCCCGCCATGGCTCCTGGCACCTCGCGGGCCCCCCATCCGTGTGTGTTGAATGAATGAATGATGGCATGGTGGTGACCGTTCTCATGGCCGCGGCTCCCTTTCCTGCTCCCCTGCGTCTGTGGAACCCTAGCTCTGCTTAATTCAACATCTCCCTTCTCTTCACAGTTTGCAACGGAATAGGAATTGGTGAATTTAAAGACACACTTTCCATAAATGCTACGAATATCAAACACTTCAAAAACTGCACCTCCATCAGTGGGGACCTCCACATCCTGCCGGTAGCTTTCAAGGGGTAAGTCGCAGAGTGAGTCACTGGCACAGAAAACACAAAATCCGCTTTGTCCGCAGGCAGCGATCGTCCATCATTAACCGTTCTGTTCCTTGTTCCAGTGACTCTTTCACTCACACCCCGCCTCTGGACCCGAAGGAACTGGACATTCTGAAAACCGTGAAGGAGATAACAGGTGGGTGCGGACGAGCGGCAGCGGGAAATGGGTCTTTTACAGAGAGACGTACGCTCCTGTCCCTCGCCATAAAAACATCTCTCCTGAGAGTCTACCACTGACGAGTAATTAGTTCTTTGATGTTTTGTAAACAAGGGATTTCCCCTGCACGTGAGGGGGGAACACTCTCAGCAAAGACCTGGGTCGTTCGCCACTTTGCGTGAATGTGTTCGACCCCCTACCGCCCCGCCCCGGGCCAGGCCGGCCGCCCTGACGGCCCAGCAGCCTTCCTGGGCAGGAGAGAAGCCGCTGAAATGGGGAGAGAACAGCAGGGCTCCCCACCTTGTAGACCAGACTTCACGCCCCTGCTCCCCACTGGTGGCCTCAGCATTGCCCTTAGAGCCCCACTTCCTTCATCCCTCGAAAAGAGATCGTGTGACCTAAATAACACGATCGTTTTGAGGACAGGAATCAAATAAGAAAAATAGACCAACCTGCTTGTAAGCCGTAACAGCTCGGTACATGGCCAGTGTCACCAAGAGCAATCGGAGATGGAGCCCAGCAAGGCCATCGGGGCCACGGCACAGGGGCACAGCCCGCTGGAGGGGCTCTGGGTGGTGGGGACCCCAGAGAGAGGCGGGATGCCCGCTGACGATGAAAAGCATCAGATCCAGTGCTCACATTTCCTGCCCATGCTACAGCCCCTTGAGCATCCTATGAGACTGTCTCAGACAAAAAATAAATAAATAAATTCCTAAGCAGTGCGCGTCTGAACCTTCCTTCTGCCTTGTAGGGTTTTTGCTGATTCAGGCCTGGCCAGAAAACAGGACTGACCTCCATGCTTTCGAGAACCTGGAAATCATACGTGGCAGAACAAAGCAACAGTAAGTTGGCCCCAGCCAAAGCCCGGTGGATCCTCTCTAATATTTTCATCTTGAAATAAGACTCAGAGAAGCGAGACTTGCAAAGATGCTCCAGGGCGTCCCCACGTGTCCTTCATCCAGTTTCCCCCTGTGTGCGCATCTCATAGAAGCGCAGGGCAGGTATCGAAACGAAGAAACGGGCACTGGCCCAGCGCTGTTTAACCACAGACGTCAGTCAGACTTGACCGGTTTCCTCGCGAACACCTGTACCGTTCCTCGTCCAATCCAGGACCCCGCCCTGCATCTAGCTGTTGGCCCCTTAGTCCCTTGCGATCTGTGGTAACCTCAAGTCTGGCCTTACCTTCTGTGGCCTTGACACTTGACGAGTGCTCTTCGGGCACTTTGTAGAATGGCTGATGTTTTCTCATGATTTGATTAGGGTTGTGCATTTTTTAGCAAGAGGATCCCTGAGGTGACACGTCCTTATCAGCTCAGCATATCAGGGGGACTGGAGAGGCTTTTTGACATCAAGTGTTTCTTTCAGAATCTCCGCTTTCCACACTCCAGGAGAGGCTTTTTGACATCAAGTGTTTCTTTCAGAATCTCCGCTTTCCACACTCCAGCAGTCACACACACACACACACATACACACACACACACACACACACACCTTTAACATAATAAGCATAAGGATGAATTTTGTGCTGAGAAAGAATTTGGGAGGCCATTGGTCAAACCTGCCTTGAAAACAGTCTGATTATGAGACCTGTTTCCCATAATTGACCCCCGAAAGGGCCATTTTGAAAGAGAAACAGGAGAGAGGAGTCTCTAACGTACGCTGAAGCCTCGTCATCTCGAGCCTTGGTGACTGGGCTCTTCGTTCGGCGCCGCCTCAGCCGGCCCATCCCCTGTCCTGACGTCCAGGGAGCTTCCTGCCCACGCAGACAGGTCTCCTTCTTGTGCTGCCGCCGCCTGCACACGCTGGCCCGCACCCTCTGCACGGCGCCCGGGCCCCTGTGCTCGCCTCTGCGCCCTGCTCCGGCCTCTCTCAGGCCTCCCTCCCTCCACGCTCCCGCTCGGCTGCAGCGCCTGGTTCTCAGCCCCCGTCATGGACTGTCTTGTCTTCCTGCTCCTCAGGTGGCTTGGGGATCCCTCCCTTTAATCCGAATAACTTTCGTCCAGTCGCTCGATGAACACGTATTGATCGCCTTGTAGGATCCTAGTGCAGTGTTGGGTGGTGAAGAAAATAGCGTAGATCCTGCTCTAGATGTCTTCACAGTCAGGCGTCACCTCTTCCAGGAAGCCACCCCATCCTTCTCTTGACCGGCTTAGATGCCCCTTCGCTTTGCCTCTACAATGCCCATTATCCTATACTCAGGGTGCCAAGCTAAAATTGTCTGCTCATATGATTGTATCTGCACTAGACAAAGGGATTCTTGAGAGTAAGAAATACACGCATAACTTCCATAGAGTTAGTCACATATTACCTCAAATCTTTGTTCAGTAAATGGATGGGTGGATAGATGGATGAACGGGTGGAGAAATGAACTTATGACTTTTGAAGTCTATTTGGATGTTTGAGAGGTTAGAACATGTTCTCATTTCCCAGGCAAAATAACAATGCAATACATAAAATAATGATATTAAGACATTTATTCAGCCCCAGTCTGCCACTGGGATTAAAGACGCTACAAGAATAAGGAACTAGCTTTTCCCTGGAAGAGTTTAAAAAACACAGTTTTCAAAGGCTACCGTACCTGCCTTTCGCAGCGTGACTCACGATGACCAGAAGGCAGTTCATGGTGAATGTGAAGTGGTCCAGAAAAACGAGATCAACGTTTGAGCGACATTCTGTTTTTATCATGTTTCACTTTAGTTTTCTTCTCTCCAATCTAGTGGCCAGTTTTCTCTCGCGGTCGTCGGCCTGCACATCACGTCGCTGGGACTACGCTCCCTCAAGGAGATAAGTGACGGAGACGTGGTCATCTCGGGGAACCAGAAGTTGTGCTACGCAGACACCATACGCTGGCAAAACCTATTTGGGACCTTCAGCCAGAAAACCAAGATTATAAACAATAGGAATGGACGAGACTGCCGTGAGTAATCGCGTTGGCTTCGTCGTGGAGAGGGATCGAGTGGGTCGTTTATTTTGATTTCGACTCTTGAAGGGCCAGTCCCAAACAGTTAACTCGCTTTTTTCGTTCCTGAAGAAAGCAATGAAAAGAAATCTATATACTCCTAATTGTGACATCACCATGCGAAGTTCCTCAGAATTGTTTCTAGGTCATTCTCTTAAAATAGGATAAATCTACCCTGAGAGTTAGGCTATCAATTATTTCTAATTGACAGCGCTAAATTTGTATTAATTATATTACATTTTAGCCATAGGTTCCTCTCTGCTCATTTCAGCCTCTAATGACTATAGCTCGCACGCGCGCGCACACATGCACACACACGTGCACACACACACGCGCACACACACACACATGCACGACGGGATCAATGTGTCACGCCGGCATGTCTTATCCAGTGTTTAGAGCCAGAGCCAGCTTTGGAAGCTGGTCACGCACCATGGCCCGGTGCTGAGACCCCGGCCACTGTCCGAAGCAAATCTGAGTGCCCGTCCCGACTCTGGCTTCGAGACTTTAGTCGACTTCCTCAGTGTCTTTAGGTTCTAGCTTCCTCATCCACGAAATGGAGAGAATAGTGATTCCCACACCACAGAGCTACTGAGGGAATCGAACGAAATTCTGTGTGTAAAGCTCTCGGGCTGTGCCTCACGCACGGCGAGCAGCCCCCAGCAAACCTCGCCTGCCGCTGCCGTCGGCTTTGGCATTAGTCAGCAAGCACTGCCCAGGTCTAGGCCCGGCACCCTCCGCACCCCGCAGGGAGGAGGCTGCTTGCAGTCGGCCTCTGGAGCCCCTCTCTGTGTCACTGCTTCATTCCAAGGCCCACAGCGCGTCTGCGCAGCCCCAGATCCCAGGGGACCCAGCTCCTCCCCCACAGGCGCTGTGTCACCTGATCCCTCGGGTGGCCATGCCGTCACTGACTCCTGGGGTTCACTCTGTCTTCTCAGAGGCCGCGGGCCATGTCTGTAACCCACTCTGCTCGTCAGAGGGCTGCTGGGGCCCGGAGCCAAAGGACTGTGTGTCCTGCAGGAACGTCAGCCGTGACCGGGAGTGCGTGGAGAGGTGCAACCTCCTGGAGGGGTGAGCCGCATGTTTTAACCCCTTCGTTTTGGTAAAATCATAGTAATGAGGATGATGATGATGATGAGCCGCCATGTTTTAACCCCTTCGTTTTGGTAAACTCATAGTAATGATGATGATGATGATGATGATAAAATCATAGTAATAATGATGATGATGATGAGCCGCCGTGTTTTAACCCCTCCGTTTTGGTAAAATCATAGTAATAATGATGATGATGATGATGAGCCGCCGCGTTTTAACCCCTTCGTTTTGGTAAAATCATAGTAATGATGATGATGATGATGATGATGATAAAATCATACTAATAATGATGATGATGATGATGAGCCGCCATGTTTTAACCCCTTTGTTTTGGTAAAATCATAGCAATGATGATGATGATGATGATGATGACGATGACGACGACGACTTAAGGTTGTTTCTATAGGTTTCTAGTTGTTCGGTTTGGATCTTTTTCTTTTGTTCCTTTTCCTGTGTTTCGTTTTGCTGGTAGCTGTTAATTACAAAAGGAAGTGAGCAAACCCTTTCGTTACTGAATCCGCTCCGATGATTTACGGAGCCTCTTTCTGGACGTACCTTCTATACTAAGCGGTACGAAGTTCCCGAGAGAAATGGACCAGGCATCAGTGGTTGCATGAGGCCAAGACCGTGCGCCATTCCTGATGTGTCAGACATAGCGCTACGAATCACAGTCCCTGATTAGTTTGCGTCTTATGTTCAAGAAACGCCAAACAGGGCAAATAACTTTAAATATAACCACGGACAAAGAAATGAACGTTCACGATATTATGCTTGCTGAGTTTATTTGCCATTAATAAAAATTGGAGTCTGTCAGTTCTATGGGAATCCTAATATTGATGTAGAGCTTTGCATGACCACAAATAACGACGAGAAACAAATGAACAGGAAAGAAAAATTGAAGAATAGAGATTGGCAGGGGCGATTTTAAAAAATTTTAGAGACAGAGGGAAATTTCACGATTGGGATTACAGATGGCTACCGGAAGCCTTCCTTCCTATTTCCCTGTCAGGGCCTGGGCCACGGTTTGGGTCCAGAAATATTGAGAAGCAGGATGAAAAGACCTCGTTCAATTCTATGGGCAACTTTTAGCTGATAGGCTCATTGACCTAACAGGAATTTGCATAATGGACAGTGCTACTTCAACGAGCAAGAAATCTTGGTACAATTCGCGCTGCTACAGATAGACACTAACCTCACTTTTTTAGTTTTCATTTCTCTTTAAAGAGACAAGGAAATTAAAATAGGCACATCACTGGTGCCTGTGTCTTTCTGCTAGAGAACTGGGTCCAGCGGTGCCTACTTCCTTTGCAAGGCTGGCTCCCCCAACAGGCGTGCTAACCCGGAGAAGAAGCACAGGAAAAACTAATGTGGCATGTTTGCTTTAAGTGATGCCATTTGCCTGAACGGGAAGACTCATGGGACACATTTTTGGGTGTAAACATTCCTTGTTCACTGCCCGGCGTGAAGACCCGTTAGTGAACATCAGATTTCAGTCTTAACAGCTGTCACACTGTTTTCCTTTTGATCAGACATCAGCTTCCTGTGTGACCCTGGCCTGTACATCTTTGAGGAGGGGCGAAAGTATTGCAAGCCAAATGTATCACATGTGCGCTCCATATTCGCGGCGTTTGGTGACAACCACTGAGCAGAGTCGAACAGCTCTTTCCTTCTTCCCGTGTGTGCTGGTCTAGAGTGAGCGTTTGTCCCCACCTTCACTTAAATATCCGTGAACTCGAGAGTGGAGGGCTGCCTCTCAAGGACCATTCTCTTTGTTCCGCTGGTTGGCTGATTTTTCCCTGAATACACAAAAATCGCGCCCGTAGGAAAATGTAGGCGAGGTGTTTTGGTTACAAACGAAGCGAGAGTGTTTATTCCAGGAGAAGATGAGCAGGGATTTGTTTCGAAGCAGTTTATTACGTTGCAGGGAGGTCCCAGATCCCCGATGATGGACTTGTACCTAAAATCGCTGTGAATTTCTGAGAGAGGTGATTAGTGTCGCCTGAAACTTCAGGCGGATGAGCTCGGACCGTCGTAACTGCCCGGGGTCTCGAGGGGGGTCACTAATTCGTTTTCTCTCTTGCCCGCTCTCTCCCAGCGAGCCCAGGGAGTTTGTGGAGAACTCTGAGTGCGTGCAGTGCCATCCAGAATGCCTGCCCCAGGCCATGAACGTAACCTGCACGGGACGCGTAAGTGACCCACTCGTGTGTCATAGGGACAAGCCTTCGCGGGTGGAGAGCCACCGAGGTGACCAACGTCACCCGGTAGCTGCTAGGAACAGCCGTCCAAGCCCGCTACCCAAACAAGAGGCCGTGTGACCCCGCAGCTGGGTTGCGGGGCTGGGACTGCGTCAAAGTCCTTACACAACGTGCCACACGAGCGTCACCTTTTCTGTCCCCTGTCCCCAAACTAACACCGACTGCTCTCACCACGAAACGAGGAAGCCCGTGGTGGCCTGGGGATGTCGCTGGCCACTTTCCACTTTCCTGACATATGTCATTATTGCTTTATCATTTTGATCAAACATCATCAAGTTCTTTTTTAATATTAGTTTACAATTATTGGAAGGATTTTTAAAGAAACGCACAGCAAGACTTTTCGAGATTCCGTTTCACAGCTACCTGTTCAGTAATAATCTTCTAGAGAGGCAGTGAGACTTCAGTATTCCATGTTTGACAGACAGAATCAAATTCAGCATGTTACACGGCGAATTAGGCAGCCGCCACTGCCCTTACCTGCCACCTGCTTCTCACGGGACCAATGTGGATGGTGTTTTCTTAAATTTGCCTCAGCAAGTCTGGCTCCCTAAGGGCCTCTGTTTAACCTCAGAAATGATATACAAAGAAGTCTGTCTGACCAGCACGAGTACAAATATACACGAAGGCCAATCAGGGTTGTCTTGACAAGGCGAGACGCCCACAAAGTATTAAGCAAAACGCATAACGTATATAGTACAGTTTCTTTTATGTTTTTATATATGCGTTTAAGGCCACGAAGACTTTACACTAAGCTGTTAATGGAGGTCACATCAAGCAAGCACAGTCACAGACAGACTTGTTTTCCACACCGAGAATGCCTATGTTATTTGATTTTTTCACAATAAGTATTTCAAGTAGAAAGTATCTTTCATTTTGTAAAAGAGAGAGACCTGTATAAATGTCTTTCTCCACCTTGGTGCAGGGACCAGACAAGTGTGTAAAGTGTGCCCACTACATCGATGGCCCCCACTGTGTCAAGACCTGCCCGTCTGGGATCATGGGAGAAAACAACACGCTGGTCTGGAAGTTCTCAGATGCCAATCACGTGTGTCACCTGTGCCACCGAAACTGTACATACGGGTGAGTGGGAACTCTGGCCCTAGAAAGGAAAATGCAGAACAAAACGTTTCCTGCCTTGCCCGTTCGTAGATGTAAAACGCCTCCAGAACTTCCGGGTGATACCTTCAGAGGTTTAGATTGGAGTCAGTGCTTCGGGCGTTTTGGCCCCGTGGTGTGACCACAGCAATAACGCGCTCGTGGGCAGACCGTGGTGGCCGGTCCTAGTGGGGATGCCTCTCGGGCTGTCGTGGTGTTCATGCTGCCAGGGCTCTGTCCTGCAGGGCCAGCATGTCCAAACGAGAAGGGGTAAGTGACAGAGGGCGTGACGGCCTGCATCCTGCCACGTCTCCAAGGCTTTCTGCGCATCTTTGCAGATGACCGGGATTCACACGGGAATTTTTCTATGGTTGTTCTACAGTTCATGAAAGGTGGCATTTCCTGGAATGTTCTTAAAGACACTTTTTCTGTCAGCTAGTTGATCGCTGGCCAAGCTATTACTTAGGAAATTCAAACCGTTTTGACCGTATTTAGTGGAAGCACTTTGAATGTATGTATCTTATTTATTGCAATGATAAATTTGGTGATCAAAGTAGACTCCTCCCAGAAAGAGAAATACATAATATTTCACATTTGTTTGTACGCATCTCATAATCCTTGACCTTCTTCGAAACTGGTTATTCTTTCTTCTCTCCATCCATCTCTCGCTAGCTGTGCGGCCTCAGGCAAGTGCCTTAACCTCTCTGTGCCTCGCTTCCCTCGTGTAACTTAGGAGGGTGCATAGCTCACAGGGTTTTTGTGATCTCGAGTGACTACGTTCAGCGTATTTAAAGTAGTGCCTGGAACACCCGAGCCCTCAGTCAGTGCTCGCACTGGTGGTGGCGATGGGTTTTATCAGCCGCCTCTAGCAATCTGTGTGGTTTACCAGCAGCACTTTCAGAGGCCCGTGAAACCGTGTCTTGTCCCAAATTTGCAATTTCAATTTGCGCCCACTTTGCACTGTATTCCCACTGTATCGCTGTCTGGAGACTGCCTTATGGGGGGCAGGGGGACGCTGGCGAGAAGGGTCAGATTTTATCAGCACCGTCCATCAGTGAACGGTTTTTGTCTTTAACAATTTGGGGTGTCCTAAAAGGGAATAGACTGTGAAATAACGAGACCTTCTGTTGTCTTCTACGGCCTGAAAAGCCGCGTATCTGGCGTAGGAAAGGAGGCTGAACGCACTGCAGGGGTGAGGCTGCAGAGTCCCCTCAAAACCAAGTGCGGGGTGTAGAGCTTGGAGCCCTTGGAAGGAGACAGAAACGTTTTGGGTCAGATGGCGTGTCAGACGAGCACCCCGCCGTCCTCTTCCCGCATTTGAAATCCCCAGGCCCTACACATCCGTCTTTTCCGTTTAACTGCAATATTTTCCTACTGACATTTGTACTGGCCAGTGCTGCCCAGCAAGTCAGGAGTCTCCTTGAGACAAATGCTGTCTCAGCTTCAGGGGGCGTTTCGGGTGTGCGGATGAGGATAAAGCCGGCTTTCGGGGTCTGAACTCTCTGTGCTGAGACACGTGCCTAACCTCACGCGTCTGTTTCCGGCCGACCCCGCCCCCCACCAGTATGGCCCAGTGAGGAGTTCCGTCTGCTCCTTCCCCTCCCATGCCTGTGGCGACAGTCTCGAGCCCGCTTCGGGACAGCCGCACCTATGTCAAAATCGTAGTGAAAACAGTTCCGTAACTGGCTTTGTTCGGTGCCAGAACAGTTCCTGTCACAGCGTAGACACTCGAAAATAGTTGCCCGGCGAACAAACAATGAATAAAGGCATCATAAGCAAGTGATGAACCACCTCCCCCAAAGTGAGATGCAGCGTGATTTTAAGGATTGAGAGTAACTCGGCACACGTGGCCGATGGTTTCATGAAAGCCTCCGAGAGAGAGCGTTAGAGGAGAGGGTGATCGACGTGTGTGTTTCTCTCCCTTTCCCCACAGCTGCGCTGGGCCGGGTCTCGAAGGCTGCACGTATGGGTAAGTGTCACAGGGCCACATCTCACGGGCCCCGTGGGGGAAGCCAGAGCACGCCACGATGTTTTCCTGTGACCTTGTCGGGTTCTCACCCCGCTCTGGGCCAGCGGGAAGTCCCCAGCAGAGGCCACCTGCTGGTCCCACCCGCTGCCTGCCTGCTTGGTTGGGGTGCTCCCTGGAGGGGACGTAAGACGCGACGCAGGGGCCAGTCGCTGCTGCTCTGCGTGGCCCACCTCTGACCGCCTTGGCTGCTCCAGTTTCATTCTGTAGCGTCTCTTCTTGCCCTCGTTGGCCAGTTGGCCGTGCCACAGGCCTGGGTTAAATGACCTTTCTGTCAGATGGCAAAGCTCCAGCTCGGGGGAGGCATTTTCTCTCTCCCGTAACAGCCTTTGGTCAACACTCCTGCCTTCAGCATTTCAGTTCCGATCAACTGGCTGTCGTTGCTTGACATGCCACGAGACACCCAGAATCGGGCACTCCTGTTCAGACAGCACGAAAGAGGGGTATTATCGATTAATAAGGACTAGAGCGGAGCCTGAATTATGCACGGGACACATGTTTGCCATCCTAGATTCCCCCGAACACTGGCCAAACCTCCAGGCACCGCTATCATTGCCACAGAACCGTGTCCACAGAGCCCCCACACACACACACACACACACACACACTATCCGGGAGACATTGAAGACAGAAAAGGCAGTTTCTCAGAGACAAAGACGCCCCTCCCATCCCCACCTCTTCACTGAGCCCGAGAAGACACAACAAACTTTTCCCTATTTTTTTTTTACTACAGTCAACATCTCAGTAGTGAGGTTTTTATCACTTCCCCTCTGAGAACTATTCTTTGTTATTTTTACTCTTTTTTTTGTCATTCAGTTTTCATTTACTCGACCTTCCTACGGCTACCCATGTAACACAGACTCTGTAGCACATTATTCCTCGAATCTTTCAATGGTCCCTTCGAAACAGTAAAAACCCATTAATTCAAACTGCATTAATGGGAGACACGGGGTCACACAGGAGAGGACCCCCGTGCTCGCCGAGAAGAAAGTCTTCTAAGTAGCATTTTCATGAAGTACATCCGACCCACCGAAGAGAAATTCGAAAGGACGATGGCCCATTCTTTATGTGCAAATGATGCTGCTCATTAGTCTGATATTTCTTATCATCTCCACCTGAAAAGATGAAGTTTGCCAGAAGCTCGAATGGCATAGACACTTAATAATAACTTTTTTTCAGGAGTATAATTCCATTTTTCTGTTACATTTCATTCCAGCGTAGAAGGGGTGTTTTTAAAATACAATTAACATTCAGCATTATGGGCCAGTTAAAAATTACCACTTTCAATACATGAAACCCAAATGTCAAAAAGTGCCAACAATAATTATTTTTTTAAGGTTTTTTTTAGACTGCCAAGGGCAAGGGGCGAAGTCCAAAGCTGAGACTGTAAGTCTTAGGGCTGAGTCAGACGTATACGTGAATAAGTAAAAGTAGCCACACCTAGGAAAGCAGCGTGTGGATAACAAATTCAGAGTAGCCCCATCTTACTACGGAGAACGTACAGATCCCCTTCCTCAAACGGAACAGTCCTGCTGCCTTTCCCCTGAGGGGTAGATGAGCCTCCACACAGTCCCCAGCTTTGTCTTCCACGTCGGTTAGTGTTTCTAGAGATAGCTGATCCGTTCGTGAAGGACGTGCCGGTCGTCAACGAACATTCAATTTCTAACCATTTTCTTCTTTCAGATACGACGCTGCAATTCATTCCCCCTTCCAAGCTCGAAGCCATCTGGGGCCCTTGCTTAGTTCTTTGGGGTGCTTTTCAAAATTCCCCAGGATCCCATCGTTATCATGCACCCCGAACATGGCCCTCTTCTCATTGCAATGATCAGCCACTTTGGGGGGTGGGAAAGTGAGCCGTATGTGTAACAATCCAGGAACACCCAGAGAGCAGCTTGTGCAGGCCGGGGGCACCCAGCCTCTTAGGCATCTGCCTGCACCCCTAGCGAGGCTCCCTGCCATTATTACAGTCTCTCCCCTACGAAGGCGCAACACACTAGCCAGACGGGGCCTTCAAGATGACAGGAACCCTCCGTGTTGGCTTCACAGAGTATTAGGTGGACGCAACCATCTTGGGCCTTACCCAGTCAGCTCTCAGTAATAACTTTATAAAGATTCTCAACTCAGAATCTACTAACGCTGATGAGCTTCAGAACCTGAGTTCTGAGTTTTACTCTCCCGGAAATCAGACAAAACCTCCTTTGAAAGGTTTGAGGCTGCATGTCATCCCTCGTCTGAGATAGTGATGGATGCTTTCTATGCAGAATCCTGTCACTTTGTAACCTCCTCTGAGCTCACCCGTCAAGCATTCTGTGAGGCTAAGATCCCATCCTGAAAGCCAAGGACCCTCCCAGGAGCCTCAGCATTATCGAAAGGGCCTCTTCACCCAGCCCAGCCAGTAGACAAGACCTGTCTCGTGCACGTGGAGTGCTGTGCCTCCAGTGTATGCAGATACGCTGGGGATACTTACAAATTCCTATGGAAAAGCATGACAAAAATCTGAGTCACTTTTTGGAATTATGTGTTTACTTAACCCACAGATTAAACTCTCTGAGATAGTTCAATGTATCAAACTCTCTGAGATAGTTCAATGTACCAGCCGTGAAATCTGACCCCCCATGTGTCTCCACCTTGTCCCAGGCCCAGGATCCCGTCCATCGCCACCGGCATCGTGGGCGGCCTGCTGCTGGTGGTGGTGCTGGCCCTCGGGGTCGTCCTCTTCCTGCGCAGGCGTTACATCGTCCGGAAGCGCACGCTGCGCCGGCTGCTGCAGGAGAGAGAGGTGAGCGGGCGGGGTGGGCCGGGCGCCCCTCTCTGAGCCCTGGCCGCCCCGTGGGAAGAAGGCCCCTCTCTGCAGACTTGCCGTTCAAAAGTTAGCGTTGTGACTGTGTAATGGTGCCGCGATGCTTTATCTCGTGATGGGAAAACCAGAAAGGACCTCCGAATATCCAGTTGTGAGCCAACGTTTCTGGGGCGAGTCACAGCAGGTGGTTGCAGAGCTGCGTGCCGTCCTGCTTAGGGACAGTGCGTGTGCACGTGCGCAGGAGAGGGCCGTGTGAACACGTACTGCTGAGTTCTCTGGAGGGCACTGCGGTTGAGAAGATGTGACTTTGGAAAATGCCATCATCCCCGCCGGTGGCTGTTTCTTTCTGAGCTCTGCACTTGTATGTTAGGGGGCCTGATGGGCTGCCAAAGTGGCCAGCCTTTAAAAATGTTCCTCACTAGAATTTTCTCCATGCAACTTGTTGGCCTGGACGCAGAAACGGAGGTTGCATTGGTTGTGCCCCAGCAGGACCACGTGGCCGTGATGACCGCCCTGACACCCGCGTCCCCGGGGGCGCGGAGCGTGGAGGCTGAGCGAGCGTCACTCACTCTTCTTCCTTGTGTCCTGCAGCTCGTGGAGCCCCTCACGCCCAGTGGGGAGGCCCCCAACCAGGCTCTCCTGAGGGTCTTGAAGGAGACGGAGTTCAAAAAGATCAAGGTGCTGGGCTCTGGCGCATTCGGCACGGTGTACAAGGTGAGGGCACCGAGACTCGGCACCCACGCTCTGGGGACCTGGGCTGGGGGCCCCTGCGACCCGGGTGAGCCAGCTAAGGATCCTCGGCTACCGTCAGCTCTTTGTGTCACCAAGGGTTTGGGAAATTCCAACATTTTTCCCAAGTTGTTGAGGGGAGATCTTTTATAACCATGGTGACAAATAAGCTGCCTTGTGAGACTTATACACAGATATAAACAATTGTTCTGTGCCACCTTTTAGGAGGTGGTGGCACAGGCGGAGTCTGACGGACAGTCGCCTACCACCGAGTGACAGCATCCAAATATAGCCCAGGTCAAAACAGCTTCCTCTTAATTAATTTCCTTCTAGACCCTCTTCGTGTAAAGTCTCATTTGAGTTGGGCCTAGACCTGGTATCTCAGGATTCAGGATGAAACGCCCCACACCAGCACGAGCCCAGGATTTTTTAGTGTAACTGCTCTGACCCACGCGCCGATGGCCCCGGAATGCGGAGCTGTGCTCCTTGTCCCTTGCCCTTCTGGACGGTGTCACAAGGAAGTCCATGCAGCTCACGAGTTGCACGTGGCATGCCGTGATGGCCGCCAGGTAACATCTTCCCTCTCTCTCGGTCGTAGGGTCTCTGGAACCCAGAAGGCGAGAAGGTCAAGATCCCCGTGGCTATCAAGGAGTTGCGAGAAGCCACGTCTCCAAAAGCCAACAAGGAAATTCTTGATGTGAGTTTCTGCTTTGTCCTCCGTGGGCCTCGGGCCTGGATATCAGACGCCGCCTCGTCTCCTGCTGGCAGAACGCCGCTCAGCTCGAGACTCTTCGCTGTCACCTTCTGAGTGGTCACGTGTTGTGTCCTTTTTCCTTCTCGCTCTAGTTGGTATAAGCCCCTCTCGGGCCTTCTCTTAGGGAGAAGACTCACCTTTTCCATTCTGCAATTTCCCCGAGGATGGGGACTTGCGGTCACTAGGCAGCTGCCAGGGCCCGGTCTCAGTGCCAGCTGCTTTCCACACGCGCTCACACTGTGACTCTCCGGTGTAGAGATTATGCTCCATATTTTTTTTGATGAAGAAAGGGATGCAAAAAAAAAAAAACTTGCTCGGGTGGGTCGGACTCCAGCGCGTTGTTACTTCTGACTCTGAAACTCGTGTTCCTTTTGCTCTGTCAAGTTATCTCTGAAATGACTCTTTAGAGGTGCCTGGAATTAGCAGTGTGATGCTGTGTGCTTTCCCCAAGAACGAGGTCAGTGTTCTTCTCCGGGCTCTGCAGACGACATGTCACTTCATGCAGGAAGTCTTTGGGATGTCCCAAAGATTATTCTTAGGCTTTTATTTTTAATTCTGTTGCACTTTCCCCACCTTCTCTGGACCCTGACTAGCCAAAGAGGGTGCTGCACAGTCTTAGAAAGAGGCAGCTACAGGGGGCCCCCCGGGGCGTGGTGGCGCCCACTTCAAGCACATACTCAGGTGAACCCAGCGGCAAACTCCCTGGGGTCTGGGGCTTCGCGGTGCTGGCGTCTGCTTACTGATGTCCCAGGACAGAGCCAGCCAGCGAGGAGGAGAAGGGGCTCAGCGTGTGTTACGAAAACAGGAAAATGACGGTGTTTATTGACTCAAAAATCTGGGGAGTTTAGTTCACCTGACAGCCAAGGACAAGAGTCAGATGCGCTGCTTCTCTCTCTTGCTTCTGACCCACAGAGCGTGCGTGTAGCAAGCAAAGCCACGTGGACCTTGTTTTAATGCGTTCGGACACGGCGAGCGCCCGGTGGCAGACGCTCTAGGCGGCCTTCCCTCCCTTTATCGAGGACAGTCCCACCGTGGCGCACTTCTAAATGAAAGGTGACGCCTCGATACGGAGCAACAGAAAACCTCCCGCATCGCCGACACACTCATCAAACAAAATTATCCTTCGCTGTGACGGTTGGCAAATGAACATGACGTCTTGTGAACACAGCGTCAGCTCCTATTAGCGTAACCACGAGAAGTAGAGTGGACGAGCCACGTGTCAGGTCCCCTGCCTGGTGACACTAGCTGCCTCATTTCTGCCGTGCCAAGGAAAATCTTCCTGCGGAATCTTCTGACTTAAGTCGTTTCTTCCTTATTGGAGACCTTCTAATAAAATTTCACTAAGGGCGGCTGAAATGCAAATTTCAACAATACGTACAAGGCAGAGGGAGGGAGATTTTGAAGACAGTAGCTACGCTTTGGGAAGGAAGTAGTTTTCACTGAAAAGGGGCCCCCGGGCCTCTAAACCTGGAGAAAATCTGCTTTCGTGGGGCAGATTTAGTAAGAAGTAGAAGACGGAGGAAATAAAGACCCCATGCGGTCAGGCGCCTTCCTTCAGATGCTCACACACTCTTGTAACCGGTTCCACTCAGCCATCCCCACCCGGGCCAGGCCCTGAGACCCAGCACGCAGCACCTAGGTTGGCCTCTGGCTTACGTTGCCATTGGCGGCTTAGTTAACTGCCAATGTTTCAAAATGCTAAGGTTAGACACGTGCCTTTGCCGATGGGCTTTAAAATCTAGTGGAAGCTTTTTTTCCCTAATGTTTAACCTAAAATGGTTCCCATATGAGATAGACGAGCAAGAAGGAAAGAACCAAAGCTCATTTCAGCCATGGGGACAAAATAATGGACTTTCAAGGTCACCGAGCCTCCGACAGACCCTGGCGTGTGACTCGGGTGTCGGCCTGCGGGGTCCCTGAGCACGGTCTCTGCCTGCCAGCCCGCGCCCGGCTGGGCGGCTCATTCCGAGACCGTCGTGGCATCGCAAGCGTGCTTGCTGTGGGTCATGGTGCACCTCTGAGATTCCAAGAGAAAGAGCCCAGAACAAATTGACTTTAACTTCTGCGCACACGGCACGGGACACATAACCAGACAGCGTCCCCGCGGGCCTGGGGGGTGGGGCAGAAGTGATGGCCCAATTCTAATAGGATCGGGGACCTGGCGGGGCTGCAGACCGTGTGCGGCCGGCACCCACACGCGTGCCCCATTCCGACCCCCGGGTCCCGGGCAGCTCCTCGCCGGCCCCACAGCAGCTGGGCTGCTCACACTGCTCGGCTTTGCCGATTTTTCTCCCCTCCAAGATGAATACAGCATGTTCCAAATCCACAGCAGAACTTGCGGGAGCAGCCGCCGCCAGAGGCTGGCTTCGGTGTTATGGTTGTACAGCTTCCCAGACTTGGGGCAGAGACGTGATTTGTGCTTCTCTGGCAATTCAATGGCCTATTAATTTTTCCATGGACTTTCCAGTTTAAATTTAGGGCAGGCGACGGAACGGACACGCGAAACAGATTCACATCTGTGCCGGGCGTGCGCCCTGCGTCCATGTGTTCAGCGGCGCGCTCGGGGGGAGGCCCACCTGGCGGCCACTGTCACACTGGGCCCTGCGGTCTGGTCCGCGTTGGCTCACCGTGCCCTGGGCTCCTCTTCAGACAAGTAACGGCCTCGGCAGAAACGCGCGCACAGGCCCTGCCCGGTCTGAGTCTTTCTGACTTAGGGAAGTTTGAGCGTCCGTAGCTGTTAAGCATCTGCTCTTGAACGTTGCGATGCTCTGCTCACAACAGAAGAGAAACGCAGGCTGCACTTGGGAGCATCGCGCCTCCTGCTCGGGACGGTGTCGGGGCAAAGGCTTCGCGACCAGTGGGAAAAGCTGCAGGGTTGGTTTTCTCGTCGCGGGGAAGTGGCCTGGTCTCTGAAGTGCTTTGACTCTGCGGCGTTGCGTGAGTTCAGCGTCGTCAGCCCTGACGTTTCGGAGGCGGTCACGGGCCTCGATCTAGGGCAGGCACCACCGGAAAGAAGACGAGAGAGCGACCCAGGCCCTCGCGCCTGAGGCTGGCTGCCCCCGCGCCGCGGCAGGCACGTGTGGGGGGGGCGGTCGGGCAGTGGACAGCAGGTCCAGCAGTGCTGTCCGGGGCTGAGGCGCCCTGGGCTGTGCTGGGGGCAGCCCTTAGCTCGGGGCGCTGGGTGAGGGCGGCCGCTTTTCCAGATCACTCAGATGTTGAGGTGACCGTGACCTCTCCAAGCTCCCTGTTCTCGCCGCCTCTGGGGCCTCCCACGTGGGCCTGGGTGCAGCCCAAGAGTTTGCGTCTCTAACTTCAAGTCCCAGGCAGTGCAGACCCCACTCCCCAAGGAGAAAGCAGCAAGAGGCCAGGAGAGTGTAACGCGGAGTGGGGGTCGGGGAGGCCCCCTTGGAGAGGAGTGGCCAGGGGCGGGGGAGGAAGGGCGGCCAGAGGCCCTCCCGTGGGCATGGGGGGGCCGAGAAGGTGGACAGCAGGGGAGCGGGGAGTGAGGCCTCTGGGCTAGGCCCGGGGAAGGGGTAAGGCCAGAAAAGGGGCCGGTCCTGTCTGAGCCCCCCGCCCCCTGTCTCCGTCTCCCACCTCCTCCCAGAGCGCCCCCTGCCGGTGTCCCCACTGTACCCCCACTGCTGCCCAGAGAGGGGCCGGCTGCCCTCCACCCACGGAGTGGCCGGATGTCAGCTGGACCCTCTGACCTTTCCCTCGCAGGCTGTGTGGCCCCCTTCACCTCCGA